GTCTTAAGTATCCAGTTGACCAAAGAGGCAAAACATGGAGTCCAGTTTTTAGATGACTCCTATCCCGAGAACAGATGGCTGCGGTGTTCCCGTCCTGTGTGTGCACAGCCCTAAAGGACAGTGAGGAAACGAATTCTCCAACTGGCCGTGCCTGAGACACTACACCACAACCACTTTCCCTGGAGCAAGAGAGCCTTAGAGACGGACAAGTGGCTAATGATTTGGTGAAGAATAAAGGACTGGGGACTTGGCAGAAACATGTTTGGGGGATGCTGACTCCGGGGCATGTGGAAGAGTAGGAGGGCGGACCTGCAGTCAGAGATTATTTGTGTCCCTTTGGAAGCTCACCCAAAAGACCCGCTGCACCAGGTGGGTCACCAGACATTCTCTATCCCTTCCACCCCAATCCCTGCCCTTTGGACTATTGAACAACGTGGTCTCGGTGGCAGAGACAGAGGCTGTGCGTGGGCTCGACAACTGGGACTTCACCTCACCCAGGCTGACCTGGCTACCGCCACTGCTGAGAGCCCCACCCTCCAATAGCAGAGACCAAAGGTGGGCACCGTTGCCTGGGGCCCAGCCAGCCACTGCCCACGGTCACAGACACACTGAATGCCTCACACAGAACGAAGGCCATCCAACCAAACTGCCAGGATGGAGGCGCTCCCTCTCAGGGGAAAGAAGGAGGGCAGTGGGTTCTCTGGTCTTACTGGGCACCACCCATCAGGAGCAGCGGCCTCAAGACCACCCAGGCAGCCTGTGGAAGGCTGAGTGTGGGGCCAGCTCACAGATCTCATGGGTGCATTACATCATAAATCTGCACCTGGTGCTGGGGTAACGCCCCAGGCTGGTGGGGTGGGAGAGAGCAGTTGGCCTCAGTGAAGAAAAGTAACTCTTCAAAAGTCCCGAAAGCCTAGTTGAAGTGAGATACTGCTGGCTGGGACCAGTGACGCTCTTCGTAGCTGTGAGGTTTCCACGGGCACTGCCCAGCCTCTCTGGCACAAGGACAGAGAAGGCGGCTGCAGCATGGGAATCAGAGGATGTGTGGGACAGCTTCCTGCAGCGTCTCCAAGTCCTCTCAGCCCCACTGTCCCTGCAGCCACCGCTGGGGCACCCGTCCACAGGGTTTCAGCTGGCTCCGCACCAGGACCATAGGGAGCGCTTCCCCTGGAGAGCAGGTGGTGTGGCTCCCCTCTTAAAAAGTTGATCAGACACTCATTATATGACTCAGCTGTCCTCCTAGGTCACCACCCAAGAGAAATGAAAACATATGGCCGTGCACAGACTTGTACATAAGTATTCATGGCAAGGTTCCGATCACAGCCAAATTGGAAGCAGTTAAATGTTCATCAGCCGCTGGACGGATGACAGCATGTGCTCTCTGCCTGGACTACATCTCAGCAATACAGACACATGACCTGCTGACACCCACAGTCACTGGGGGCCACCTGCAAACACCCCGGGAAGTGAGAGAGGCCAGACTCGGGACACCACGTGCTGCACGGGGGCATTTGCGGGGCGTTTCCAGAGATGGTGGATCCAGAGCAGCGGTTCCCTGGGGCAGCGGGTGGGAGCAGGCAGCAATGGCCCAGGGGTGTGAGGGGCGTGTTTCCCCAGATAACAGTGTTCTAAACCTGGATTGGAGGTGGTCGCACAACTGTTTACTAAAAGCCTGAAAGTGTGCACTTTCAGATGGTGAATTTTATGGTGGGTATGTTATACCTTATCGAAATTGTTTAAATGAAAAAGTTCAACGTTCATGTCAGCCACGTTTGGCCCTGCTGACCACTTACCCCTCCTGCCCTCACTCCCTGTTCAGCCAGTATGTGCACTTGTGGGCGGGGCAGTGACAGGAGAAGGTGTGGGAGCCAGGTGGACGTTTATACCTCAGCTGTGAATTCCCCAGACACATAATCCCACTCCCTTCCATAGGTGGGGGTCCCAAGGGCCCTCGGTAACAAACAACCAGCTCCTAAACTCCATCTCAGTCTGCTTCCTGGGGAACCCAACCTGCACAGGCATGGGTGGCCATCTCAGAAAAACAAACCCACCCAGGCCAGGTAACCAGGGGGAGAGGAGACGGGGATGGTCACAGCTTGTCCTGCCTCTTGCTGACTCCTGCAGGGGAGGGTGCTGAGGCCCCCGGGGCCAGCCTGTGTGACCCCCAGCCACTGGTGTGAGCTCTCCAGCACCAAGGAGCTGGTCAGGCCACCCTGGAGCACCAGTCAGCAGGCCTGTGGGACGTGCTGAAATATCAGGGTTTGTCCAGAGGGCAGCAGGGAGTCAGGACAGTTTGGAGCTAGGAAGTGCTGTGATCAGTCTAGGACACAGAAGCGGGGGAGAGCCCAGGCTCTGGAGGTGCCCCTGCAGGAGCTGAGACCAGGTGTGTGTCTCAGGCCAAAGGCCTGGGAAACCAGGTGAAGGCTGCGGGCACGGGAGGTGGCAGGAACTCGGGACTGTGAGTTCCTGGCCCCGTAGCTCTGTTACTGCCAGGCTGAGCGAGCCTGGACGCGCCACCGATCTGCTGTGTGCCACAGGGTCCCCCCACGTCAAGGGGCGGGTGGGATCTACAAGCCTCTGCTGGCCTGTTACAACAGACCCCCCAGCCTGTGCTGCTCAGGAACGGTGGTGCAGTGTGAGCGCCCACCACCAGAGGGCATGACTCCCAGTGCAGGGGTTTGGTGAGAAAAAGGAAAGGGGCTTATTTAAAGGTTGTAGAGACTCAGAATAATGGTAGGTTTCTGCCATTAGGTCCCACTCCTTTTAAAACACCTGAAGACACACAGTCCTGCCCCCCCGTTACCACACCAGGCCAGTGCCAGAAGGCGCCAGTCAGAGGCACCATCTCTCAGAAACAGCCACAGCCTGAGGCTCAGCATTCCTGGCCACAGTTCAGCATTCCAGGCATCTCCCAGGAATCCGTGCTTGGTTAGGCAGGTTCCTGCAATTTCCAGCTCCATGAGCCCTGCCTCCGTGTTCCTCAGCAGGTCTCGGTCACCTGTCCTCTCATTGTGCCAGCCCACCTGATGGGGTCCTGCAGCCCTGCAGTCCCTTTCCACCATTTCTGGGCCAGGCAGAGCCCTGTTTCTGACACAGCAGCCCCTTGGATTCCACTCACCCCTTCACAGGGGACTGTGTGGGGAGATAGGGCCCATAGGCCCCTGAAAGTTTGGAGATAGTCCCAAGAGACCCCGTCTCTCCCTCTCCCCAAGTCCTGAGAGCTGCAATGGCAACCTCAGCACCTGCCACAGCATGGCCACACTGCTGCCAGTGACAGTAGTGAGGCCAGCAGCCCTCCCCCACCACCCCTGCACAGGCAGGTTCACCTGTGTCCACAGGCCCCTGAACACTGCTGACGGCATGGGACCCGGTGGCCTTGGGCTGGCAGGTAAGACCATTGCCCATCTCAGGGCACCTGGGAAGGGCAGAGCCCCAGGGCTGGCACCACATGCAGAGGCTGGGAAACAGTGGTGCCCTAAGACATGTGGGCTTCAGGGCAGTGCCCTGCAGAGGGAGCCAGGCTTGGGGTGCATGGACAGAGGGGCCCGTGCTGCCAGGCAGGAGAGAACAGGCTGTGCATCCACACAGGGATGCAGTGAGAGGGGTGTCCCCAGGAACTGGGCTTGGGGTTGGGTCAGGGAGAGCTGGGCAGTCAGGCCTCCTGTGTGCCCGTGGGGGCCTCTCAGCCAGCAGTGGCTGGAGCAGCAGAGGCTCTGTCCTTCCCAGCACCTGAGGCCTTCCCCGCCCTGCTCCCAGCCTCTCCTAGACAGAGGCCTCACCCTCCACACAGACACTGGCCATTGCCTGAGCTCACCTGGGGGGGGAGATGCTACCCGAGCATCCCCTAAGGAAGTTCTGCTAAGCATCTAGCTCACTTGTCTCCTGCTGCATGTCCTGTTGCTTCCCCACTCTTCCGTTTTCATTAGAGCTGAAGGAAATCCAGCCACCATGCTCAATGCCAATTCTGCTCAGGTACAGGAGCTCAGTTCTGAGCTGTTGCATAAACTACAGTGGGTAGGCCAGCAGACTACAGGTGGCCCTTGGCTCTGTTTGGTGCCTTTCGAGCCTGGGTCACCCAGGGGCCTCCTGTTCTAGGGCTCAGGCCCCAGCCACCTACCTGGTGAGTGCATAGGCAGGTGGGCAGAGGCCCAGGTAGGGTGGCAGATGAAGGCCAGAGAGGGGACAGGAAATGGGAGGAAGGGGCTGGAGGTGTGGGGAGGGGGCAGGGGACTGTCTGCATGGGGGTAACCTAGAGACCAAGCTTGAGTAATGGGGGCAGGAGAGATGGGTCTGCATTTCAGAGACAGTGCTGGGCAGCTGAGAGAGGGGTGCACACCACGGAGGCCCACAGCTGAGGAGGAAGGTCCTCCATGCTGCAGCCCCCAGGGGAGACCCTCACCTCTGATGGGGTGGGGTGGGTGTGTGGGGGAGGACGCTCAGTAGGACACCGAGAGTCAGTCTGAGTCTCCTGTCAATCAAGGGAGGCTAGTAGATGTGGGCTCTGCTCCTTGGACCCCGTTTGGGGCCAAGGTAGCTCCAGGGCCACCCGGAAACTCGGGTCCATGCCGGGCCTCCCCACACACTGGGGCTCTGACCGCCAGCCCCGGCTCAGGCCTGGACCGGCTCACCCCTTCCTTCCCCAGTGTCTCCCCTGCGGCCCCGGGGGCAAGGGGCGCTGCTTCGGGCCCAGCATCTGCTGCGGGGACGAGCTGGGCTGCTTCCTGGGCACGGCCGAGGCGCTGCGCTGCCAGGAGGAGACCTACCTGCCGTCGCCCTGCCAGTCGGGCCAGAAGCCGTGCGGAAACGGGGGCCGCTGCGCCGCCAACGGCATCTGCTGCGATGCAGATTGGGGGCCTCCGTAGCTGGGGGCGGGGGAGGCGTTCGGGGGACGGCCCTGGAGTCCGGCGGGTAGTTGTGGCCCTGGGGTGTGGGAGGGCGGGTGGGGAGATCTGGGTCCGGTCCCGGGAGCCGCAGGCGCGATCAGCCCCTTGTCCCCCCAGAGAGCTGCGCCTACGAGCCCGCCTGCCGGGACGGCGTTGGCTTCCACCGCCGCGCGCGCTCCACGGATAAGAGCAACGGACCCAGCTGGACCGACCGACCGCGGCCTTGCTGCTGCGGCTGGTGCAGCTGGTGCGGGCACCTGACCCCGCCCCACCCGGTCTCCGCTGAGCCCCTGCCTGCCGCAGTCCACCCCACCTGTCAAGCTCCAAAAATAAACTTTTAAAATGCACTGGTTGATGTCCGTCTCTGTCTCTTCAAATGGGGAGGGGAGAGGTCGGGGAGCGGGAGAAAAACTGCCTGCAGCACACACACCTGCCCCATCTGTTCCTGGACCCCAAATTGTAGACAGAGCCACCCAAGAGAAGGCACAGACCCCCTAAGAAAAGCAATCCTGGGTCAGCAGAGTTGCTGGAACTGGGACAGGGCACCTGGGGGTGGGAGTGTGGGGGCCAAGGCCCAGAGTCAGCCTGCACAGTGGGGTGGGGTCCTCAGGCAGAGGGACAGGAGCGAAGGGGGCAGGTGGGTGGAAGACATCCGTGGACAAGGCAGGGAGAGATGTAGAGACAGAGACAGAGAGAGACAGAGGGAGAGACAGAGAGAGAGCAGGCAGACACCAAGAGTGACAGAGAGAGGGGCAGAAGGGACAAACCACAAAGGGACCAGGAGTTCCGGTTCCCATTTACATCCCAGGAGACTGAGGCACAAGTGGCTTTGGGGACCCTTCCAGGGCCGAGATTTGAGATGCAATGCCCATTTCATCCACGGTTGTGCCATGTTTGTGTGTGGCTGTGGGCATGCAGGTGTGCAGGGGTGGGGAGTGGGACCAGCACCCCCAAACCCAGCTCAGGGCCCAGGTGCTGTCTGTCCCGGAGGAAACCAGGCGCCCCCAGCTGGCGTCGCAGCCACCCTGACAGACAGACCTCGGTGAGACCCTGGCCACCTGTCTCCACCACCCACAGCTGTGGGAACCACACACACACACAGACACAGACACAGACAAGAAAATAATTGTTAGTGATGTGCCCCGTGAGTGGTGACCACAGTCACAGACACACAGTAGGCCCTGACATACACGTTCACAACCACAGACACACTCACAGGAGCAGACACAACAGACTCCAGGAGAGACAGGCCCACGTACACACACACACACTCACTTCCACTCCCAGACACAAGCACCTTCCACCCTTTGACACTTGTGTTGGGGGTCATTTCTGTGTCCCTGGGTGCTCAGCAGCCCCTGGTTCACGGGGCCCCAGCTCGGCCACATCTTCTGAGCAGCAGGGCCTCCTGCGGCCTGAGCCCCCAGCTCCTGGGCACCATGAAGGCCCTTCAGCTGTTGCGGGGGGGGGGGAGTCCTGGCCCCAGCCCTCAGGTGTGACTCCAGCGTCCCTCCACAAGTCAGGAAGTTCTTCCCTGTCCACTGCTGGCCTGGGAAGCCCTCTTTGTAGCCCGAAGGACCCTGTCTCGGGACCTCGGATGGTTCCTCTGGTGTCCTGCCTGCTGTAGGTCCCTGCTCTGTTTGGAGGGGAGAGCTGCAAAGCTGCTTCCATCTCTCTCACGTGCCCGGACTTTCTCCACCCTCGCACCGCCCCTGCCCCACCCTGGCTCCACCCCTGCCTGACCCCCACCCCAGGTCCTGTGAACCTGCGCCCCCTCCCCTCCCTGGGGCGGCAGGCCAGACTGCTCCCCTGCAGCGGGACCCCCGTTCCCCTCTGAGTTGCCCAGAGCTGCAGACACAGGCCCAGCCGCGCCTTTCACCGCCCCCCCCGCCCCAGCCCCGTGTATCCCTCCCAGAGCTGACACTGAGACGCAGGTCCAGTTGGAAGGGGGCAAGTGCTTTATTTGACTTTCATTTTCTGGGGTGGTTGTGGAAGGAGCAGGATGCGGCCCGACTGTGTCCCAGGGTCCGGGCGCTCAGCGCTGGGGGAAGGCGGCCTGGGGGTCGCAGGCGGGGTCGCTGTGGCAGCCGTCTGTGAGGAGAGACGGGGGTCAGGGCTGTTGCGGGTGCCGGTCTGGTCCCTGGGTCCTCAGTGCGGTCCCCTGCCCCTGCCCCCCACCCGGGTCCGGGAGTCCGCCCGGGGCCGGGGCCGGGGCCGCTCACCGGGGCTGCAGCAGATGCCGTTGGCGGCGCAGCGGCCCTCGTCCCCGCACGGCTTCTGGCCCGACTGGCAGGGCGACGGCAGGTAGGTCTCCTCCTGGCAGCGCAGCGCCTCGGCCGTGCCCAGGAAGCAGCCCAGCTCGTCCCCGCAGCAGATGCTGGGCCCGAAGCAGCGCCCCCTTGCCCCCCGGGGCCGCAGGGGAGACATTGGCGGGACAGCAGCGGGTGAGCAGCCCGGGGCTGAGCCCGGGGCGCGGGGTCTGGGTCTCGTGGGTGGGGGGCGCGGTCCGGGGACCGCAGGAGGCTCGGCTCCTCCTGGCTCAGCTGCGGCCCCAAAGGCGGACCCGGGAGGTGAACCCACACCGAGGACCTGCCTTGGGTCCCGGGCCTGGCGGCTGCGGAACTCAACTCAGGTCGGCGAGGCCAAGGAAACAGCGGGGAGACCCTGTGCCTCGGGTCCCCGCCCCCCGCCCCCGCGCCGAGGATGGAGGGTGTGGGAGCTCACCTTGCGGACGTCGAAGTCCATGGTCGCCCTCTTGCCGCCCACGGGGCAGTTGGTGATGTAGCAGGCGGAGGTGAGCGCCAGCAGGCCGAGCAGGCAGCAGGCGAGGCTGGGGAGCGCCATGGCGCGGGCTCGGGGTCCGAGTTGGGCGTCCGTGGCTGGGTCTGGGATCCGGTGCTTTTAAGCCCGGGGCGGCGGGGCCGAGCGCTGCCTAAGAGGGCGGGCGAGTGTCTGGTCACGGCCTGGGCGCTGCGGGTCAGGCCCTGTGCCCCCGCGCGGCCTGTCATTTGCAGGGGCCGGTTGGGTGGAGGTCACGGGGTTGGCTGATTCTGGCGTAGGGGGGAAAGGGAGGCCGTGCGGTGGGCTGGATCTGTGGGAGTGAGAGACAGAGAGACAGACGCACAGACTCCCTGTCTAGAACGGGTTGTGGGGGAGGGGAAAGAGAGTATGGAGCAGCCCAACCGAAGACGCTGCAGCTCCACTCCCAGGGCCCCGGGGGGAGCAGGAAGGCCCTGGGAGCCTGCAGGCCTGAAGAGGCTGTGGCAGGACTGGGCAGGACTCCCCCACCGTCCTCTGCTCCCCTCTCATGCTGCCTTGTCCACTATCTTAGGAAGCTGTCTTCCTGAACCCCAACTTCCTGGTGTGTCCCCCCTCACCAGTCTTTACTTTCTGGGCACCTGGAACGTGCATAGGAAGAGACCTTTATTTTTCTCTAACTTCCCACAGCAATTCAGCCTTTGCTTCAACTAGGAGGGAGGAACAGACCCCAGGGGAGTCTGCAGTACCTGGGGCTTTGTCACACCTGCAAATGCCAGGTGCCCTCCAGTCCCACTGAGGCTGCAGCAAAGGTCTCTACCTGCACTCTGGGCCCAGGGCGCTCCCTGCACCTGCCACTAGATCCTGTCATCTCGTGCTTTCAAATAGCACGTTGGTGAGGGTCACAGATTTGCTTTAATTTTTGAACCTGAATATAAACAAGCTCTGTTTCCTTTGTAATCTCACGTCTCCGTGGCACGAAGTTAAGAACGGGGCTGTCGTTGTGCATTTTTACCGCATCTGAAACTGACACGGATGGAACCAAAGAGGAAGACGGATGCCTCAGTGGAAGGGGCGGGGGCCGAGTCCTGGACAGGGTGATGCGCAGCCTGGATGCCACTGGAGAAGGGACTTGTCACCCACGATGGCAGTGTGGTCAGCAGAATGGTCTTTGGTCCAGGGTCCACCTCGGCTCCAGAAAATCACCTGGGCCATGGCCTCCCCTTCCCGGGTGGCCCAAAACCCATGATGGGCCATTTCCACACAGTGCTGGGCAACTCTGGGGCCAGCATGTGGGTTCTCCCTCTGCCCAATCCTGTGTCCACCCCCTCCTTTCTGCCAGTGAGGGTCCTCAGAGCCCTCTGGGATAACCATCCTGTTTCTTCAACTCCATCTCAGTCTGGTTCCTGGGGAACCCGATTGCAAAGGAATGGATGGGACGAGGCCAATGATGGAACAAACACACCCAACCAGCACTGTCCCTGATGTGAACCCAGGGAGAGGAGCCTGGGACACGGCCCCAGCCAGTCAGGCACTCTTGTTGACTCTCCCAGAGGAGGGTGCTGAGGCCATCAGGTCACAGGCCTGTTTGGCACCCCTCGTCCCCCAGCCGCTGGTGTGAGCTCTCCTGCACCGAGGAGCTGGCCGGGCCATCCTGGAGCACCAGTCAGCAGCTGGTCTTGTTTTTCAGCCAGATCAGCTCGCTGGTGTGCTGGGCTGGAAGGCCCACAGTCTGACCCTAGACATGGCCCCAGACAGGCCTCCCACCGCCCTGTGTTCACACCGACCTCACCGAGCTAACACCTGCACATAGATGACTGTGGCATGACGACCCACACAGGGCCGCCCTGCCCTCCTCTGCTCCACACTGCCCGTCTGAAGATGCACTGAGGGCCCAGCACAGATGCTTAGAAATGCCAGAGAACCAGGGGCTGAGATTCTGGAGCCCAAAGGGGGCAGCATTAAATATAAAGCTATTTAAGGAGGCCAGGAAGCGGTGTCTTACATGGTGTAACATACCCGCCATAAAATTCACCATCTGAAAGTACAGTTTGAGGCTTTTAGTAAACAGTTGTGCGGCCACCTCCAATCCAGGTTTAGAACACTGTTATCTGGGGAAACACGCCCCTCACACCCCTGGGCCATTGCTGCCTGCTCCCACCCACTGCCCCAGGGAACCGCTGCTCTGGGTCCACCTTCTCTGGAAACACCCCGGAAATGCCCCCGTGCAGCACGTGGTGTCCCGTGTCTGGCCTCTCTCACTTCCCGGGGTGTTTGCAGGTCGCCCCCAGTGACTGCGGGTGTCAGCAGGTCATGTGTCTGTATTGCTGAGATGTAGTCCAGGCAGGGAGCACATGCTGTCATCCGTCCAGCGGCTGATGAACATTTAATTGCTTCCAATTTGGCTGTGATCGGAACCTTGCCATGAATACTTATGTACAAGTCTGTGCACGGCCATATGTTTTCACTTCTCTTGGGTGGTGACCTAGGAGGACAGCTGAGTCATATAATGAGTGTCTGATCAACTTT